GATACTGAAACATGGTACAATGAAAATATGGAAAAGAAACATTTCAACAACTCGTGGAAGAGGTAAAACAAGGCATTGGCTGGCACAAGGAAAACATAAATAGAAAATAAGGCAAGAGAGGATGGGGTGGTGGTGGTGGTGGTGGGGGGGGAGAGTAGATGGAGTTGTTCACCACTGTAAGTTACCATACTAAACTTAGAAACACTAAAATTAAAAAATGGCACAAAAAAAAAAATTAATCCAGCGATATTAGATAGGCAAGCTAGTTTATAATTACATATCATTTTAAATACAAATGTGTATTACCCTATAGTAATAAAAAAAAAAAAAAAACAGACCCCTTTTCCATTTTTTTAAACTAAGAAAATAAAAGGAACTGTTTTGTATAAATTATGGTAAATACTAAAATTGCTTCTGCGAAAGAAATGGTAAAACACAGTTAAACAATTAAAAAAATATAATACATAAAGATATGCAAATAACAAATAAACGTTTTTTTTTTTTAATTTTCATAATCTATGAGGGTTAATTACACAAGTGTGTCAAAAACTCAAAGAGAATTTCACATTTCTGACCAAAATAACTTTAGTGAAAACATGGCTGACGTAGAGAAATTTTCCAATTTGCTTTTTTTGGCTTAAAATTGGAAATTCACTGTGAATTCCTGAAAATTCTCACTTTAGTGGATAACTCTGTCGGTGTACTTTATGTGAGTTAACAATATAATCACTGGAATATTAGTTTCTGAAAGTATGAAGTCGTAATAGAATTTAAGTGAATTCCCACAGTGACATTAGTTGATAGTAATGTACCTTAAAGGAACATTCAGGGCACCATAACAACTTCATCGCAATTAAGTTGTAATGGTACCAGGTGGTCCCTGGAACTGGTTTACCATTAGGGGTTAAATGTTAACAAACAGTTTAATCCCAGCACCATTTAGTTCTGCCCATTTCCTTCCGTTTCTGTCCGTGGCTTGAATCAGGAAACCTTGGACGGGGTGCTGCTGATAGGCTAAGAGCATCAGATGACATTAGAGCATCAGATTACACTTTTAGCCTATCAGTAGCTCCCCATTCAAAAATGAGTGTGAATTGGGACTTACTGATACTAACACTAACGTGAGAATTCAAGGTGAATTAAAACTGAATTAAAATTTTAAGGTAAAAGTAAGCAAATTGGAAACATTCCCTAAGTCAACTCTGCTTCCAGTTAACTTTGAACTTACTCTGAATTCTCACTTTAGCGAATAACCTTGTTAGTTTTTTTTAATGTATAATGTTGTAATGCTTGTGAAATGCGTCAGACCTGACAGTATGGAATGTCCATTCTATGGATGTACATTAGATATGTATGAATTTAATATGTGACTAGCAATTTAAAGTATTGGTGAAATAAAATGGAATGTGAAATCTACTCACAGATCTTTATTGATGGGAGTTTAAGGTTATATATGGTTTTCAAGAATTGCCTTTTACAGTCCTATAATTAAAGATCAGAAATAGGTAGTGATGTAATGAATGAATAACAGCTCTGTTACAAGATGTAACAGATCATTTGCACATCTTAGGGTTTCCATTTCTGCTGTAGACCTGCTCTTCGGAGATGGTTTTATAGACATATGTAAACATCTGTAGATTGAAAATCAGAGTCTTGTTTGATGAAGGTTTTTTTTTTTTTTGTTTAACTGTACAAATAGCTTAACATGTGTACAAAGCTAAGTTTCCATTAGAAAATGTGTCCAGCTCTAGAATGCTGTCAAGAAAATCAGATTTTTACTTAACCAAGGCAAATATGTACAAAGCAAAAATACTCAAATATTTTAGGGGCACTTTTTGACTATACCATTGCTATGATTGCACCACCATCCACCCAGAATTTTTTGGGGTGTCCGTTTAATTCAGATTTATACATTTTGTTATAGTTTTTTCCACTTGTACTGAAAACAATATATCATTTTCCCAAGTTTAAAATTCATAAAAAGAAGAGTTCACTTTATCAATATCTCGCTGTATACTGTACAAAGAGGGCAAATCCCTTTATTACAGTAACTTGAATAACTTAAAGGATCACTATAGGGTCAGGAACACAAACATGTATTCCTGACCCTATAGTACTAAACCCACCATTTAGCTGGCTTCCCCCCTCTTAGTCCCCCTATAAAAGTTTAAAACTCACCTTATTTCCAGCGTTGCATGGGTCAGCCGGCGCTGGCTCCGCCCCCTTTGTGACATCATCAAATGGCCAAATTTTAGCCAATCGGGAAAGCATTGGATTCTGTAAAAAAAAAAGAAAAAAAAAGTTACCTGCGCTCTCTCCTCGATCCCTATGTATATTTAAACAAATGGAGGTCATTTAGTTACTCCAATGGCCATTGGAGGGAATGCCCACCTGCCAACGTCAAGGCAGGCCCCCCTAGAATACAGGCTCGGATTTGTGTGCATGCACGTATGCTGTGTGAATTATATCTTATAACCTACCTGTACAAACAGGTAATAATGCTTATAATCCGCCTATAAATTTACAGATAAATAGTTTATATAGCTATAGAAAAACAGGTGATTATAGCATGACCATCCTATGAAAGGGTTACTGCTAACTTCTGCAGCAAAACGCATTTGAAAGTTTGGTGACTTGGCTCATGTGTTTATTGTCCTTTAAAACATATATAGTCCAAAACGAATTGAAATAAAACAGTTTAACAAGGAAGGAGGCTAATAAAATGGAAAGGAAATGAATAATGAACTGTATCACCTATCATTATGTGTATACTTTCTTATGTTGTCTATGTGGTCTTCCAAGACTTGTCTGGCTGGTGTACAGCACATTTCCTCAAGGTGTCCTGTAAAGAGTAAAAAGTTCTTATGGAACATTGGCTGAAACACATTAAATAAAGACATATTCAGGTCATTAGAATTACATAAACTATTGTCAATACTTGTTTTCTAAACTGTAGTGTATTGAAAACCAACATTTGGAAAGGAGGTAAGTTTTAGCTATATTGTTTAATGATGAATTTGGAGCAGGGAACCAGTATTGGGAGGGTTACTGAAACCCTTTTCTTAAAACAGTTTTTTTGATTGGAGTAACTGGACTACTTCCCAGTTCACTGAATATTATCTAACGTTATGTGGATTATTCACTGAAGTCTGAATAGCCCAGCTGGGGCAAAACCATCTGGCTGGATATGGGGCCTTTCGCACTGCAAAATCCAGACATTGTTGATGGAATTAAACAATGTCTGAATTGTATATATAAGGGCGGACGGCTGAAATCCGAACTGAGCTAATTAAATATGGGCCCAGAGGCTTCAACTCTAGGTCCAGATTAAAAAAAAAAAATTCTAATCTATTTGCATTAGCAGCCAGTGAGAAAATAGTTAAAAACCCTCAGTGGCGCTCTGTGGTGGTTATAGCAGCTGGCCAGTGGTTGCTAGCCACCCTCCACATTAAAAAAGTTAAAAAAAATACAGCTTAATAAATTAAAATCCTTTGGGGTCAATAAGACCCCATATTACTATAAAGGAGGTATTTTACCTCTTTATTATTAATATTATTATCATTGCCATTTATATAGCGCCAACAGATTCCATAGCGCTTTACAATATTATTAGAGGGGGGATTTAACTATAAATAGGACAATTTCAAGAAAACGTACAGGAACGATAGGTTGAAGAGGGTCCTGCTCAAACACCCTTACAGTCTATAGGAGGTGGGGTATAAAACACCTTAGGACAGGAAATAGCAATCAAATAAGGTGGGAGTGAAGCAGAGCTGGAGGATAGAGTACTGGCCTTTAGGAGAGAGCAAGAGACAGGTATGTGAAGTAGAGCTTAGTCTGGGAGACAATGAGCTTTCCTAAAGAGATGGATGTTAAGGCACTTCTTAAATGATTCAAGACTAGGGGAGAGTCTGATAGTGGTAGGCAGGCTATTCCATAGGAAGGGAGCTACCCGCTAGAAGTCCTGCAAGTGCAAGTTGGCTATACGGGTGTGAGCAGCGGACAGGAGAAGGTCACAGGCAGAGCGGAGAGACTGAGAAGGAGCATACCTATGGATCTTTGAGGAGATATAATAGGGGCTAGAATTGTTCAGTGCTTTATAGGTATGGCTTAGCACTTTGAATTGACTCCTATAGGATACAGGGAGCCAATGTAAAAACTGACAGAGGGGTGAGGTGTGAGAGGACCGACTAGAAAGGAAAATCAGTCTGGCGGCAGCATTCTTTACAATTACATTGGAATACGGCTTTTGGGAAGACCAATTAGAAGAGAGTTACAATAATACATGCGGGAAATTACTAGAGCATGGACAAGCTCCTTGGTAGCATCTTGTGTAAGAAAGGGGCGGATACGGGCTATGTTTTTAAATTATTAATTATTTTTGTAATTATAGTGTCCCTTTAAGTAAACAAAATGAACAACAGCTTGTTGTATTATCAATAATTTAAACTAAGTGGCCTACAAGGGCTAAAAAATCAGTTTAGATAACTGTTGCTTAAATAAAACACATTTTGGACAGAGAAGGGGAATTATTTACACAGAGGAAATAACTAAAATTGACTTTATATATTATGACAGATACTCTATACACCGTAAAAGCTCATTATATAATGAATCATACTGATAAATTATACATTTTAAAGCTTAAGGAGATGTTACGTACTCACACCCTTTACACTGATGCCATTATCAAGTGTGATAATCAGACAACTGAGCTTTAGACAGACTGAGTGCACATAATTATTTAAAATGTGGAAAAATGATGGTCATTGACCAGTGGGAGTCCACCAGGAAAGGGTTAGAAATTCATGAACACTTGAACAAATAAAAAGCTAAATTACAAATCATTGCTGTTCAATGGCAAGACTTATCTTTATCTCTAGAACCAAGCCCTCACATTCAAATAAATGCATCATTTAACCTTACTGTAAATGCTTATTTTAATGCTATATATATATATATATTTCAAATGTGTTTTTATGTTCTTTTGTGCTCTCCAGCTTTAAGATGTCAGAACAGAGGAAGCGTTCGTTGTCTACCTCGGGTGAAACATTATATGAAATTCTCGGATTGCAAAAAGGTGCAACTCCCGATGACATTAAGAAATCTTACAGGTGTGTGCTGCATTTACATACATATTGTGTATGTTTTTTCATAAAGTTGAAGAATGAGACATTTTATACAATTTTCTAGATGAAGAATGGATTGCCAAGCTAATACTATGTACATAAAATGGGTTATTGTTACAAGAAGGGAAGAATCACTTACTTCTACAATCACACATTAAACATTTCAAAATATTCTTTTTTTTCCATTTAGAACAAACATATTATGCAATGCTGTACAATAGGTACATATAATCATTCAAGAAATGGTGACAAAAAAGCTATATACATGCAGTTACAAGAAAAAGTATGTGAACCCTTTGGAATGATATGGATTTCTGCACAAATTGGTCATAAAATGTGATCTGATCTCAACGTTTGGTTGAAGTTGTTGCTGCCAAAGGAGGTTCAACCAGTTATTAAATCCAAGGGTTCACATACATTTTCCACCTGCTCTGTGACTGTTTACATGGTGTGTTCAATAAAAACATGGCAACATTTCATTCTTTGTGCGTTATTAGTATAAGCAGACTGTGATTGTCTATTGTTGTGACTTAGATGATGATCAGATCACATTTTATGACCAATTTGTGCAGAAATCCATATCATTCCAAAGGGTTCACATACTTTTTCTTGCAACTGTATACACATACACTGATGCAGATAAACACACTCTCAGGCACACACAGACAGACATATATAAACTTTTTCTGAGAAACAGCATTGTTTATATTTTGCAGTTTGTAGCGGATGGCACTGGGCTGTCCTGCAAATGTCCTTGAAATAATTGCATTCGTGTGATCTGCTAAGTTTCTATGTGTTTTAAAAGCCTTGTATTCTTCTGGTTGTTCGGTAGTTTCATTCCCTTAGTTTATTCGAATGAAAATACCGAACAACCAGACCTCCCCTGTGTGAAGTGTGTCCTCAATTACCCGTTGCAACATTGTTGTGAACGGGTAATTGACTAGGAAGTAGCCTTCCTTTGTTCTCGGGGTGGCCATTCGACAAAACGAACACGCCTTGATAAACTTGGGAATTCATTTTTCCTTCGATGATAGCAATCCGTCCAGGCCCTGACGCAGCAAAGCAGCCCCAAACCATGATGCCCCCACCACCATACTTCACAGTTGGGATGAGGTTTTGATGTTGGTGTGCTGTCCCTTTTTTTCCGCCACAAATAGTGTTGTGTGTTTCTTCCAAACAACTCAACTTTGGTTTCATAGAATATTTTGCCAGTACTGCTGTGGAACATCCAGGTGCTCTTGTGCAAACTGTAAAGGTGCAGCAATGTTTTGTTTGGACAGCAGTGGCTTCCTCTGTGGTATCCTTCCATGAAATCCATTCTTGTTTATTGTTTTACGTATTGTAGATTCGCTAACAGGGATGTTAGCATTTGCCAGTGACTTTTGTAAGTCTTTAGCTGACACTCTAGGATTCTTCTTCACCTCATTGAGCAGTCTGTGCTGTGCTCTTGCAGTCATCTTTACAGGACGGCCACTTCTAGGGAGAGTAGCAGCAGTGCTGAACTTTCTCCATTTATAGACAATTTGTCTTACCATGGACTGATGAACAGCACGGCTTTAGGAGATACTTTTATAACCCTTTCCAGCTTTATGCAAGGCAACAATTCTTAATCATGGGTCTTCTGAGAGCTCCTTTGTGCGAGGCATCATTCACATCAGGCAATGCTTCTTGTGAAAAGCAAACCCAGAACTGGTGTGTGTTTTTTATAGGGCAGGGCAGCTGTAACCAACACCTCCAATCTCATCTCATTGATTGGACTCCAGTTGGCTGACATCTCACTCCAATTAGCTCTTGGAGATGTTATTAGTCTAGGGGTTAACATACTTTTTCCACCTGCACTGTGAATGTTTACATGGTGTGTTCAATAAAAACATGGCAACATTTCATTCTTTGTGTGTTATTAGTTTAAGCAGACTGTGATTGTCTATTGTTGTGACTTAGATGATGATGATCAGATCTCATTTTATGACCAATTTGTGCAGAAATCCATATCATTACAAAGGGTTCACATACTTTTTCTTGCAACTGTATGTGCATATATTTCAGCATTTGAATTTCACCACTACATACAAATACCCTCCTGCATTCAAACATCAACACTACTTACAAACACACTCCTGCATTCAAACACCAACACTACATACAAATACATCTCTATATTAAACACCAAAATTATATATAAAAACACCCGTGCATTAAAAAAACAAAACTACACATAAATGCATGCTTGCATTCAAACACCAACACTACATATAAACACACACATCCCTACATTCACACACACATACTCCATATAACAACATGCTTACATTCAAACACATAAACACTGCTCAGTGGTAAATACAACCCTCCAAGCATGGGGAAATGGTAGATTCCCAGTTGTCAAAGCATTGTGTGAGATGTGCGGCGGATGGGTATCTACCCTTTGGCCACCCTTGCGATTGTGGGAGATGTAGTCTACAGCATCTGCAGTCCCAAAGGTTGCCTACCCCGACCTATAACATAGAGGAACACATGGTCAGTGATTATTTGAATGCAGTATTGCTTGTGCGTCTGAATGCTTCAATTTTACTGGAAGTAGAATGTGTTGATCACAAATATATACACAGCTTGCTGGTAAAAGAAGGGAGGGGAAGAACAGAGAGCGGGTCAAGTAGGGATTCAAGAAAGCACAGGTAAAGAATTTAAAAAACAGACATGTCTGGAAGTTGGAACACATATGAAATAAATCTCAATTTTGGACATTACCCATGGTTATATGATTGAAAAGCCAGATACATAGTTACACCATGAAAAGAGGAACCCCAGGTAGAACATTTATATCTAAATCTAGGTGTTAAATCAATGAGAATACTGCATCAATAATGTAAAAGATTCAAAGATGTATGTTAAAAAGGGCAGAGCGATACGCATTCATATAAATATATAATATACATATACAGATATATGCCACTTGATAAATGCTTCAAAAAGATGAAACAAGCTGACATCTCTAAAATTTTCATTGGTGCAAAATATCATCAGACTATCAAACAGCATTCTATTTAAACTTGTCCAGACCACCAGTGTATTATTCTGGAATAATATATAACTGATGTGCGGCATTACTCCAATAATAGCATTATGACTGCGCACGCAGGTATAATTGAGTTGTTAAGGAATTATCATGGTCATTAAGGGTAGTCTCAATGACTGTCAGAAAATTAATTACCCATAATTGTATTCTGTAATGTGAGTCATAAATAAACGTACAAAGCTTCAAAAGCAGGATTTTGCATTGTCTGCATTACCATCAACAACTTTTGTGAGCTAATTGGAGATAATGAAGTTGGATTTTAGTTGCTTGATCTTCTTATACATAAATTCTGAATTGCCAGTAATATGGGAATGTCATATTATAGTACTATATACCAGAGGCAGATTTGTACAATATAATGGAAGAGCCACAGCCGTCTTAACTGTAAGACGACCCTAGGCGACTGCCTAGGCCACAGAAGTGAGACACGGACCACAAAACCATGAATTTACTTGGCCCCATTAACCGCCCCTATGTAAAGAATGGGCAGAGGGGACTGGAGACCATCCTTAATCCTTCTCTGGGAAGAACTATTAAACATGTTACTATAAAACACTGCAGTGCCCTGGTGGAGTTAACCTCTGTCTTGACTCCACTTCGCTTGTGTTAGTCTTTGATGGACACTACTGCTTTCTATTAAAGCTAGCAATGCCTCGTTCAAAGCTGTTTAAGGTGTTATCTCTGCCACTAGGTGGCACTGCAAGAAAGACCCTTAATATATTATGTATTAGTATTAGTATATTAAATGTGCAACAGATTACGGGCAAAGTTTACAGAGAGGGGCAGGATCAAATTACAGGATTGGAGCCTAGCATCTCACCATCAGACAACTTCACCAGCCGTCACTGATAATAATGAGACAGTTATGTTTTAAATTCTTCTGTTCTCTGCAGCAGGTGGACCACACAGCCTCAAACTCTATTTGCGCTATAGTGGTTATGGTGTCAGGAGTGCACTGGGCAACTCCGCTGATTATAAGTAGTCAAACCATTTAAGAACATTTTACTTCTTACCTATCAGGTGTTGCTCCCTATCTCCACTACTTTAGCTGGGAAAGCTGCAGAGCTTCTATTAACTCTTCTAAGCTACACCCTGCAGTGTAGGTCAGGATTGTGGACTGTGGACTAAGCTCAGACAGAGAGCTATTGTTTTTCTGGCTGACGTAGTGGAGAGGAAACAACCTGGCTACCCCAGGTAAGAATTCAAACTGTTCTAAAATAGTTTGATTACTTACAATGGAGGTTATGGTGCTGTAGTGGTTATGGTACTTTGAGTGTTTTTTTGTTTTTTTTCTGTTCAGTAGATCAAATCAGATTAGAATCTCTTCATAAATGATTGTTAATATATGAGGAAAAACTTCTACAATGGAATTTCAAGATGGGAACAATATGGATAATTATATCATGTATATCATATATATGTTAAAAGACCCCTAAAGTGCTAGGAATACAAACCCTAACTATGTAGATATCTGTACCCCGATGTGAAGTAAAAAAATAATTTTACTTGCCTTTTAGCCCTTGTCGCTTTAGTCTCTGCGCTATCACTCTACCTAACTGGCTGAGATTGTCAAGAGGGTCTCAGCCAATCCAATACTTCCACTGAGAGGCTAGTGCGTATATATGACAAAATCCTGCGCTGCGCCAATCAGATCTATTAAGAACAGAGTCTTGTGGCTGTCAGGGTTCAAACGGTTGGGGCACTGCACCCAGACCACGTCATACTCCAGGCCAGTTACATTTTATCCTTTTGATATCCTTTGCAGAGAGAGCAATCTATGTAAAGTGTGCTATGTCCACTAGGGATAATGGGTTTTATGGAATAACCAGTTTTGCGAATGATATCTTAAGTGATTTTTCGTAAAGAATGTATCTATTAAAACGGACTGCTATCTACTTACTAAATGCGTCTTATGAGAAAGCTTCACAAAACACAATGGACAGTAGTATAAAAATCTACCTGTCTCTCTGTCAATCTATACCTATCTCTATCTACATGAACATATATGTCTTTGTAAATTAAGGAGAGATCCTCTGCATGCAAATCTAAGATTTTAAATCGGCCTAATTAGCTAATTCATATTCTATAGTCGCTGAATACACTAATGTCTAATAAGAATGTAAATGAAAAAATGCTAAATTAAACTTCTCCATACAACAAATCCACTGGGTGCATGAACAGGACTTTCATCATTTTCTATTATTTTCTATCTTGACAACGTAGAAATAATTTGTTAAAGTGTGACTGATTATTCCTGTAAATTTGTTAGGACCACAGTGTAAATCAGCATATCAAATGAGGCTTAAACAGATGGCATTTTGTCGCTAGCAGAAATTAAATAGCCATGGAGATATCACAGTAAATGTGGAGCAGCAAACTTGGTTCTAACCTTGGCTTTATATTTGTATTTACCTTTTTGAGAAAATACGAGTAATTTAGAACATTTGCAATCACCATTATTGTATGCTTGCATGCTAATTAAAGGAACACTCCAAGAACCAAAACCACTATCGCACTGGTGCCCAATCAGAGCGCTGTGACAGTCAAGTGTTACTTCTCTCAAGACTTTGCAATAGCTGTTGTAGCATTGAAAAGCAAATATAAGCGTTTTCCTCGCTATAATTGCTCATTCTGTGGCGAGCCCTCCATGTATGAAGATTTTTTTTTTTTGCGACTTGTTTTTCTTTTTCTTTTGCGATCAGGCCTTGTTTTTTATTTTATTTTTACTTATTGGTGTCGGGAATTATAGATATTTATTCGGTCATTTTTGGTGCTGAAGAACAGAAGAATTAGAAGAAAGAGGACTCTTGATGATAACTATCATTTTGTTTTTCTGGTTTTAGAATTTTTTTTTGGCCCCCTCTTTACTATCATTAAGGTGAGGGTGGTAGGTAGGGACTTTATTTTAGGGGGGTTGCTGGGGGATTGGGAACCACTAGCCATTTGTAGGGTTGCTATTATTGGGAGGGTGGACAATGGCATGTTTACCTCTATTTTATCATTAATCAGGGCTCCAACTCGCCGCATGAGTGGCGAACAGAGGAGGGGACAATAGATCCCCCTCTTTATTATAAGTGTTAGGGCCCCCGCCCACCGACATATTTACGGGGCCATGGGAGGGGACAATAGATCCCTCGCCATAAAATTTCAAGAAGCCCCCACGTGATGTCCATGGTGGAGTCACGCGGAGATTATATCCCCCCCATTATTTCTCAAGTCCAAGTCCCATGAGGCCTTTTCTAGTAACTGAGCAGCAATGGCTGCCCAGTCACTAGTTTTAATGTTTATTATACATGCAGTGGTGGAACTAATGTAAAGAGGGCACTGCAAGAAATTGTTTTGGGCTTTTGGGCCTCTCCCTAGCAAAAGGGTGGCCATTAGGTAGATCCCCATCAGTCATACAACCCCCTTGATGCTATGCCAAGTAGAGATCTACTAGATGGCCATCCTTGCAGGGTTTATTTGTGACCAATGTTTCTGTGTTTGAATGTAAGCATATTTTTGATTGGCGTATGTGTGCATGTAGGGGTTTATTTGTAAGTACTGTTACCATTGAAATGCAGTGTAGTGTTTGCGTTTGAATGCAGAGGTGTATTTGTATGTAATGTTGGCTTTTAAATGTAGGTGTACATTTGCGTGTAGGGTTAGTGTGTGAATGAAGGGGTATTTGCATATTTTGCAAGTTTTAATACCAGGGTGTGTTTGTATGTAATGCTTCCATTTGCAGGCGTGTGTTTGAATGTTGTGTTGGTGTTTGATTGCTGGGATGTATGCATATACACACATACACTGCCACATATATACATACACAGATATACATACACATTTACAGATGCACAGATACATACATATAAATACACTGACACACAGTCAAATGCACACTGACACATACACATAGATACACACACTTAAACATACACACACGCTGACACACACAAACACACTTACATATACAAACACCCTGATACACAGATACACACACCGATACAAACAAATAGATACACACACACAAATATGTCAGCATTTTTATACATTTAGCCACCCTCCTGTTAACATACCTTTTATGTGCAGGAGGGTGGCTTGCCTAGGGTCCCGCTGCTGGCTGAGTCTGATGGGAGTGTGGGTCTGGGTCTTTCATTGTCTCTCCACCTCCTTTTGTGCTGCCTCCTCCTGCTCCTCCTGAGCCTCAACTCCCTCTTGCACGACTGTTCTTGTAGCTGGAAGGAAGTGACCTGAACTTACTTTCTCCCAAGCTGCCGATACTACAGATGCCTAGTTGCGCTGTTAAAGAACAGCGGCACCTGACCGGGCCCTTGTTAAGCAATGCCCATCGGGTGACCCTAAGTATCAAGCAAAGCAAGTAAATAATAATTTGCAAACGTGCATCCTGCCGGATGCATTCGTTTATCATCAGCCACCATACGTACGTTGATAAATTCCAGTGCTGTAAATTGGTTCAGATGCAGAAATTAGGGATAGCCGTAATTTTCCGAACTCATCTGAATTACTGACCGAATCCTGACTGCATTTGGCTTTAGTAAATCTGAGAGGTCACATCTAACCTTTTTCTGGCCTAAAATTTGGAATGAACTTGAATTCACTTTGAAATCCTGGTAATTCTTACGTTACAGGGTTGTTTACTAACGTGAGAGTTGTTGGGAATTCAAAGTGACTGAAAGCAAAGCATAGCTGCCTTGCAGAATGTTTCCAGTTCCGCTGTTTTGAAAATGTTACAATCTATTTTATTTGGTGCTAACTCAAAGTGGTCCCGTACCAAATGCAGGACCAGTAATTTCATCGTAGTACAATGCAGCTGTCTGTAATTGAATAAGCTGACAGTAGTTCTAGTTAACCCTTTTTATACACAAGGTAGAAGGACCAGCCAGAAGAACCGATATAGCCGTTTTATTAGACTATCCATTGTGGTTTAGAACAAGGATTTTCTTCACTGTGTTAAGTGCAAGATGTCTGTTAATTTTTCTCTACACATCATATTGTTCACTCCTTCTTTAGAGATCATACTGTTCAGACATCACCTGGTAAATGATCTGGTCATTGCAGGAAAGGCAGGACACTCGGATGTCTGATTGAAAAACAAATTGAATTCTCCTTAGAAGGAATTTCTTATATAAATGCAAATTTCAATTACTATTATGGAATAATAACCGGAAACTATCAGAATAAAGAAACAGCACTCACAAAAAAATAATCAAAAAGCTATTTCATTTAAGTATTTTTTAAGTCTGCCTTGGCATTACATAACAATCCTGTAATGGATTTATTCACTAAACAGGGAGTTGCAGTGAGCAGACAACTAAACTACAAAATGTATTTCATTGTAAAAAAGAATATCCAACTCACCAAAGCAAACCGTTTTTATAGGAGGTTATTTTTCCAAGTTGGATTTTCATAGCTCATAGACTCCATGGCCAACAGCAGAGCCTTCTTTAAACCCTTAACGAGGTTAGGACGTGTCATTAGGTCCTAACTATAATGGTCTTATATCCCTGCTCACACCAGGAAGCCCCAGGGATACAGACTGCCCACTGACGGGGTGTTCGGCACTAGGCCTAATGAGAGGCATCTGTCTGAGGCAGCGGGGCCTAGTGCTGAAGACCCAGCCTATCTACAGTGCACCTGGGAGGTCTGCACCCCACCCAGAATAGGCCCTGGCCCCAGGTATCCATTGATACCTGGGGCTTGCTGGTGTGAACCCTCCTCTCTTTGTAAGGGCCAGACTTTTAGATGAGCTGTTTGCAATGCTGGCTTAAACCATTAAAATGTCTATTAAAAAGATGGCGGTGTGAACAGCTGTTCTCATTTTTATTAAATCCACTGTTTAGTAGGTAGACACAAAAAAAATAAGCATTTAACAAAAAAAAAATTGATATCCTACAGACACCATGAGATGAGATTATAAGGATCTAGGCAAGGTCCTATTTTTACCTGCCTTAAAAAAAAAAAAAACACCCCAAGCACAATAACCACTATAGTGCCTCCTATTTTAAGTAGTAACATGGTTTGACTTCTTACTTTTATTGGGTGCCTTTTCATCATGAGAGCCGGAAGCTCCTGTTAGAGTGTCAGCTGATCGTTTTATGTCTTTCAGTCCTGTGTTCTTCAGTTCCCTTTCTCTCTCAGTACCCTATTGTGCCTGTTATCTCCATGTTTTTAGCCCTCTTGTTTCTCACATTCAGTTCTTGTGTCTGTTAATTGATACCCTTCCTGTGCTGTACTTCCTCAGCAGCACTTAGCATAGCCCCCATAGAGCCATTTGTGTGTGACCTAACCATATCTGTGCTCCTCCATCTCTGTTTTCCAGCCCCCAGCCTAATTCTATCATTAACCCCACAACCACGTTTCATCCTTCGGTTCCACTGTCACATTCTGTCAGTCACTCCCAAAACCACATTCCCTCCTGCAAACTCACGCCAAATTCCGTACCTTATACTCACACTCCTTCCCTGTCTCACAGCCACATGCTTTTCCTCACTTCCAGAGGTATATTCCTTACCTTACTCATCTCAACTATCAACTATACTTCTTGAGGTCCAGTTTAGCGTCTCAAAGAAACTGCATAAAAGTATTTGGCTTAATGTACCAAAATATGAGCTTCCCAGTACCTTGGTAAAGGAGTTGCATTCCCTTCTTTGCTCGGAAACATGTTTTATGAATGTTACTGGTACATTATATTTATATTGTCTTTGCAAAAACAATCAAATTGCTCTTTTTTGCATTCTCTAAATTCTCAGTTTATGGTTGTGTATTCAGGACTTCCAGTGTTGCTGCTTTCTCAGATTAACAATTTCCAAATACTATCCAGCGAAGTCATGAAAATTAACCTATGTGTGGTTTAAATTACAATCCAGGTGGTTTTAAATGGCTATCTTACACAGGTAATTAATAAATAATCAAGTCTTGGTGGATGAAAAGCATTATTGTTATGTTTTTTTTTCCTGGCAGGACTTTACCCTGTCTGCACTTACTACGCTCAAGTTAATTATTTTAAGCTAAAACAAAGAAGTCAGGTTTTTAAAAAAACCAAAAAACGTTATTTTTGAGCACAGGTAGATGACAAATAGATAGACATCACGTATCAGTGCGCAAAGGTTAGCTCGTACAGGTCTTGAATGATGCAGCTAAACAATCAAAGTAGGTGACCTAGTTGGTCACGTTACATCTTTGTGACAGTAACCCTACATCAGGTACAGTATATGTAGTTGTGTCAGTTGGTATATGGTGTAGCAGAGCGGGGTAGGTTCTTGGGCTGTTTACATTTCGTATATGTAGGCTGTATTAATCACCCGCTGTAAGTAGGCTTGTACCTGCTCTTAGGCCCTCCCTGTGGTAGTGACTTTGCACAGTGTACCATCTCCTGTCTCAATTTTTGGGTTTATCTAGGGATGTGAAAGAGAAAAGATAGAGGGAAGATGAGGGGGGAGAGTTAAGTAGTAGGGGGGAGACATCTGTGGGGGGGAAGCTGAGGGGGAAAGTGAGGGAGCAACTGATCCTGCCTCTTCTCTTTAGTTGGGACCTACTCGTGGGGAACCTCTGTTTGCCTGAGGCCCCTTTTTTCCCATTACCTTTGGGTTTTTAGCATTTTAGATATTCCTCCCAGGATTGCCAGACCTTTGTGAATGCCGGCTCTGTGTTTTTAACCTGAGCTGTTAGTTTTTCCATAAGGTAGTTAACTTTTATTTTAAAAATGACATGGTCTATGGTGGGTATGGGGATTTTGAGCCAAGATTGGGCTATTGCCCTTCTTGCTGCTAACGTGATATTGTTATACAACTTTTGTTCTTTGGTGGTCAGGCCTGTTACCAGTCTGGATAACAGAAGCATCCAGGGCTCTACATCTATTTGTCTTTGCATCATTGCCGTAAGGAGGTCTCTGACTAGAGCCCAGAAACTAGCTATTTTTGGGCAGGTCCACCACATGTATAAAAGTGCCTTTGTCATATGTGGTTGTTTTACCCATGTGGAAAAGTTTATCTCTTGTTGTGTACCACCTCATGAGCATTTTGTACGCTTTCTCCTGGAGTGTGACACATATAGAAAATGTTTTGGCCGCCTCCCAGATATCCACCCAGTCTTCCACTTGTAGGGTTTGTGATAGGTCTGCCTCCTATTGGGCGATGTATCGAAGCTCGCCCAGGGGCGTACCTAGAGCATTTTGCGCCCGGGGCGGGTCCTATTTTTGTCACCTCCCCTCCGCCGCCCAACTTTAAAATGTAAAAAACAACCACAATTAAAAAAAAATTAAAAAAAATTTATTTAGCACTAAGCAGTGTTTATGCTTTTAAATGTAAGCATGTTTTTGTATGGAGTATGTTTGAGTGAATGTAGGATGTGTGTCTGTATGTGGTGTTGGCGTTTGAATGCAGGCATGCATTTTTATGTATTGTGGTGTTTGAAGGCAGTGGTGTGGTTATATATAATGGTGGAGTTTGTATGTAGTGTTGACGTTGAAATGCAGGGGTGTATTTGTGTGTAGTGTTGGCGAGATTCTGAGATGTATGCACATATACACATACACACACTTAAATACACACTGACTCACATGCAGATACTTAGACACATAGGAACAATATATAGGGGGTGGGCACATAAGATACCACAATCCAAACTGGGGGTCACTAAAACTTTTCACTAGGGGATGGGGTAATGTGCTGCCATTGGCTGCCTGATGCCAGCATGCAGTGCACATTGGCATCAGTGAACAAATTTGCATATAGCACATTAGCCACCCAGATTTCTTGTTTGTGGCCTAGCTGACACCTCTTAACGTCGATCTTTGTTTATCAGATAACTCCCTTATTTGCTATCCTTATGTGGGATTGCCATATTTAAGGACACCAAATAAGGGTAAGGGAGCTATCTGCTAAACAGCACCCTAATTTGGTATCTTTAAATATGGAAATCGCACATAAGGACACCAATTTAGAGAATTATCAACAGCAATTTAAAAAAAAAAAACATTTTCTTAATTTTAGTTGTTTAGTAGATTAATCCCTAATTTGTTATCCTTATGTGGGATTGCAATATTTAAGGACACCAAATAAGGGAGCTATGTACCAAACACATACACATTTATATACACACTCAATAACACAATAGGTGTCTGTCTGTGTGTGTATATCTGTGATTGTGTGTGTGCGTGTGTATGTGTGTGTGTATATATATATACATATATATATATATATATATATACACACATACACACACACACACGATCACAGATATACACACACAGATATATATATATATATATATATATATGTATACACACACACAC